GCGACGACCTTGTGCATAACTGTTACCCATTCTTATTTAATGGTCTTTTACAATAAACCTTTACTTATTTTATCCACCTTGTTTTTCAAGTATATATTCCTATTAGCATGGAATATAACACCAATAATAAATCCTGGTAGGGTATCCAGTTCCCTTAGGATAGTGTCACAGTATAGGCTGAATAAATCTGAGGAGAAGACACATCCTTGTCTCACACCCCTTTCTATTTTTGTGTAGTCATTGAATTCATTGTCTATCTGGATGCAAGTGGTTTGCTCCCAGTTCTGGATTATTCAACATCTTTTCCCAATAAATCTAATTTTCTTAATAGTTCAAATAAATCCCTGTGCTGTACCTTTTGCATAATCCATAAAAGGCACATCCATTTGCATTTGTATATTAATAATAAAATAAAAACATGTCCTAATGAATCAGAAGCGATAGCAGAATGAACTCGGATTTCAGCTTTACTTGATCACTGAAATCACCATGACTGAAGTGGTTACAATGATATTTACAGAAGGCCAGTTACTTAAAGTGTTGTATAAAAATTACTTTTTACAGAATTTCTGATGTTTTCTCTCAAAGATGAGAAGAGTTTAAACCCAAAATATTGTGAGGAAATGAAACTAAGTTAAAACAGGATTTTGCTCAATAAACTGAGTGACAGTACTTCACCAAACAGTAGAATATTTCAAATATTTATTGCACATGAGTACAAATAGGGCACATGACCAATAATAAACTGAGTGACAGTACTTCACCAAACAGTAGAATATTTCACCCTGAGGAGAAATTTCAGTAAACTTAATGCCTAAAGATGAAATCCAATTGAGCAGGAAAGGAGAAAAGCCTGCTTCTGCTACTGCTTAGGACAAGTCCATTAAACTGAAGAGTGAGAGTCTAATATCTTCAGAATTTTGTTAGCCAAAGATGGTGAGTTCAATCCAAGGTCATAAGAGTCAGTATAGTTAACTGAAACAATTCAATTAGTGCAAATTGTGTACTCAGATCATAAGATAGATTTTAATTGTTAAAAAGGCTAAGAGTAAAGACTAGGTTAAATGTTAAATTTTTCACATGTTTCCAATTTTGAATTAAATATTTTATCTAAGTATCCTTTTACTAAGAGGCAAAGAAAAAAATTTTTTTATTAATGCTATTTTTACAAGATGGTTTGGCCTGAGGATTGCATCTAGTATGAAACAGACTGTCACCTCTAAGTGTTGACTTCTATGTTCACTTTTATATTTACACATACTCTGTCTCTGACATTGAGCACTTTATCCCATAAATATAGCACATCTTAAGACTATATTTCTTCATATATATATATATATATATATATATATATATATTAAGAATATGTGGATGACACTGTATATATATATATATAGATATAGATATAGTAATTAATCGAGTCTAGAAGAATCTTCAACAGAATGAAGAAAGCATTGGACAGCCATTTCATCCTATTTTTGGACTCATCAGCAGTGTGTATCCACTACCATGAATCAAACCCAGACTGTTACAACAGATTGTGTCCCAAGAGCTATGTCTTCTTTCCCCAAGCCGTGGCTCTTGGGGCACAATCCATTGGGTTACATATACTTGGATGAGTATCACCACAGAATCTAATAAATAGTGGCACTATATCGAGTCAAGTCAGTTTCTTCTTTGTCACTGATGCCTGTTGATCCAGTGGTATGATGACAGTGCCTTGTATTGTAATGGTCCAGGTTCAATTCTCAATCGTGGATGCACACTGGCGATATGTCCCAAAATAGATCAAAATCGCTGTCCAGTACTTTCTGCATTCTGCTGAGGATTCTTGTAGACTCAATGAATTATAAATGATTATTCAAATCCCACCCCTAAATTTCTATCACTGATATATATATATATATATATAAATATAAAAGTGAACATAGAAGTCAACACTTAGAGGCGACAGTCTGTTTCATGCTATATGCAATCGTCAGGCCACGTGTGCTGTTATTTTTCTCGGCTATTTATATATATACGGGTTAGTGGTGCATTGTGGGTATTCTATTATGGCGGTTATTTTTACCGGAAGTCGCTTTGTTCATTTATTTGGGTCAAGTTATATTGCTCGTTTTTATTTATTTTTTTTATTTTATTTTATTTATTTATTTATTTATTTATTTTTTTGTTTCTTATTTTATTTATTTATTTATTAACGTAGTAAAATTTGTTTATATCACGTATTTAACAGTTTTGTTTTGGTTTGAGAATTTAATTAAAGCTATTTGTTCAATTTTGGGGTTGGTTGTTGTAGTTCATTCTAACTATTATTTTTTTGGCGGGAACAGTTTTTTAATTTGGGATTGGTTTGCCTATTTATTTACTTGGATGAATTTAGGTCAATTTATTTTTATATTTTCTCTTTTTGGTTTTCGGTTTTTAAGCAACATAGTACTTATTTATATATTTTATTTATTTATTTATTTATTTATTTATTTATTTATTTATAGAATACCCACAATGCACCACTAACCCGTATATATATAAATAGCCGAGAAAAATAACAGCACACGTGGCCTGACGATTGCATATAGCACGAAACAGACTGTCGCCTCTAAGTGTTGACTTCTATGTTTACTTTTATATTTACACACGCTCTATCTCTGATATTGAGCACTTTATCCCATAAATATAGCACACCTTAAGACTATATTTCTTATATATATATATATATATATATATATATATATATATATATTCTATGTAAATAGAATTTCAGAAACTCATGTATTTCAACCAATGAAAATATGAATATTAATCAGCAGCTGAGATAATGATCTTTTATCAAAATTGTCAGTAATCAGATGGTCTCCAGTGAATACAAGTATCAATGCATTATTCGACTTTGATTTTTTGTCCTTGTGTTATCCTTCATTACTATAGAAATGAAATAGTTGAATTTCTGCATCTTTTTGATGTCCCCAATATGTAACTCACTGATTAAGCTGTCCTTTTTGCTAACAAATATACAGTTAAGGGTTAGTTCTTTCTTCTTGCTTGTTTAATGGATTTTACAGTTTTTCCCCAGAATCAGCCATCAACATATTATTATGGTTATGTCTGCTGATAAAAATTCCTATTAGGTTTCCTAAGGGAAATGGTATCATCTTCCACCAGAATAATGCTGCTATATTCAGCAGGCATTCTACTGTTGTTCTGTCATTCATTTTGTTTCTTTAACAAAATTCATTGCTAAAAAGTTATAAAAGGATTAAATTATGAAACAGGCTGAAAGATAGCAGAAGAGATTTTATTTCTTTAATCATTTCACCCCAAGCAAGGCAATAAAGCCACTACAATGTAAGGAGTAACTGAGTGTGAAAGAATATGAGAAACGGAAAGCCTTATTAAGGTTTGGTTTGTTTTACACCATATCAACCTCAATGGGTTATTTAATGTCGATAAATCTTTTATTGCTGGTAATATTTTTTTTCTAAAATGTATTGCTGATAATAATGTATTACTGGTAATAATTTTTTTACAAAAAAAGTATTTCTTGTATTAAAGGCAATTTTATACTTTAATAGTGTTTTGACCCCAGTTTGGTGGTTAACTATTTGCCCATAGCTGGGACCCTAACAGGAGCCACCACCCTGAGTCAGGGTGAACCTGGGAACACCACCAATTAAGAAGTGGTTCCACGCTCCTCAAAACCTTGCAATCAGAGACTTTTTTGTCTTATCCTGGACATGGATGTAGTTTATCGTCATACCCAGGATGGCTTTATTAAGGAAAGAGAACAATAAAAAATATAGAAATCAGGAAGACAGTAGATAATGATTGACATTGTATTTAAATTTTTGAAGATCAAAATTGACTGCAAAGCAAGAGACTGAAAGAGACTTTGGCAAGCAAGAACTGTGAGAGAAGGAATTGTTAACATAGAACTTGTCATTCTAGTATAGCACTTAAAATTGTAAAATTAAGACATGAAAAAGGAAAGCTCATCAAAACAAATGAAAATATTTATAAAAAGACACAGGAAAGCTACGTTATGGCAATAGGAAAGTGAGTGAAACCAAGATGCCAGGTCAGAACAAATAATATTGCAGATGTTACTTTGTATTTCATCAAGAATCTCTAAATATATGTCATAAGCACTAGAGAAGATGTGGCAGCAATATCAAATGTATGAATGATTGTTGGGCTTATAATGGTGTAAGGTAGATTCTGGAAATAAAAATTGTCTCAAATGACATGGTAAACCAAGTTTCCCAGCAGCAAACCTATCAATTGAGTCAATATAATCTTTCCACTTCATGTCAGCCCAAATCTCCTGGAGGTTAGTATCAGCCATGCTGATGGAAGGCAGAAAAGATTTTTAAGATGATTAAACAAGGGCTGTTTTAATTTGGAGTTGTTCCACTTAACAACTGATTGTAGGACATTAAATAGATTTGAAAACTTAAGTTAATACTGAAAATAACAAAATATTGTTTCATATTTTACTTAATAAACCAAAATAGTTTTCACATGACCAAATATGATGAATGTTTTATCAAAACGGAATCAAAATATTATAAGACATTTGTGTATTTAATTAGTAATGGAAAAAAGAAAATGAAAGAAGAGAATTTTCAATGAATATTTTCTCATATTAGTGAGAGTCTATTTACCTATCTGAAAATGAAGATGCAATTTGACGAAGATGAATTAAGTAATTATATTTAGCAAAATTACTTCTTCAAATATTATTTCACATACTTTGCAATGTCAGAGAGTAATTACATGTTTTGTTCACGCTAGTTTAAAAAAATTAAAATGAATCTTCAGAAAACATCTACATATATTTTAAAATAAAAAAAAATATATGATCTGTGCTTATACAAAATTAAATAGGATATTCTGATTTTATTAAGTATTTGATGATTTTTAAACATTTATATTATTTACCAGTTACTTAATGGTACAGAAAATACTAATTTTTAATTCTTTCTCTCATTTTGTTTAGTTTAATGATTCATTCTTACTTTGACTTCTTCCATAACATACGTTTGTCATGTAACTTTGACTTCTGCCTTACCACCAAATTCTCCTATCTTAAATTTGACTTCTTTCAATCATTCTCTTACTTTTGCCTTCATTCTTATCTTAATTTGATTTTTTACATTGCCTTCGTCATTACTTCATCCTCCTCATATTACATTGCCTTCTTCATTACCACATCCTCCTCATCTTACTTTGCCTTCTTCATTAGCACATCCTCCTCATCTTACTTTGCCTTCTTCATTACCACATCCTCATCATCTTACTTTGCCTTCTCTCTTACCACATTCTCATCATCCACATCCTCTTTGACTTTTTGCCTTCTTCATTACCACATTGCCTTCCCCCTCTATCCATCTTATTTTGCCTTCCACATCCTCCTTGTCTTACTTTGCCTTCTTCCACATCCTCCTTGTCATACATCCTTCTCCTCATCCTCTATGTTACTTTTTGCCTTCTTCATTACCACATCCCATTTGTCTTACTTTGCCTTCATCTTACTTTGCCTTCTCCCTTACCACATCCTCTTCATGTTACTTTTGCATTACCACATCCTCCTTGTCTTTTTTGCCTTCTCCATTACCACATCTTCCTTTGTTATTTTGCCTCCTTCATTACTTTTGTTGTTATACTTCATTACCACATCCTCCTTGACTCCCTTCTTTCATGTCATATCTTTTCCTTCTTCCCTTAGTCTCTCATCTATTACCACATCCTCATCATCTTACTTTGCCTAATTCATTACCCTTCTTCCTTACATCCTCATTTGACTTACTTTGCCTTCTTCCTTACCACACATCCTCCCTTGTCATACCTTATTGTCCTTCTCCCTTATCACATCCATCCTCTTCATACCACATTATCTTTGCCTTCTTCATTACCATCATCCTACTTGTCTTACTTTGCCTTCTTCATTACCACATCCTCCTTGTCATCCTTCCCTTACCACATCCTTTCATGTTACTTTGCCTTCTTCCCTTACCACATCCTCTTCATGTTTTACTTTGCCTTCTTCATTACCACATCCTCCTTGTCTTACTTTGCCTTCTTCCTCCACATCCTCCTCATCTTCCTTTGCCTTCTCTCTCATTTTCTTCATTACCACATCTCCTCCTTGTTACTTTGCCTTTGCTTCATTTACCACATCCTCCTCCTTGTCTTACTTTTGCCTTCTTCATTAGCACATCCTCCTTGTCATCCTTGTCATCTTATATTACTTTGCCTCTTCATTACCACATCTTCCTTGTCTTACTTTGCCTTCTTCATTACCACATCCTCCTTGTTATACTTTTGCCTTCATTACTTCATTATTACCACATCATCCTTGTTATTTTACTTTTCATTACCACATCCTCCTTTGACTTACTTTGCCCTTCTTCCTTACCACATCCTCCTTGATTTACTTTGCACTTTTGTTGTACTTCTTTTTCATTACCACATCCTCCTTGTTACCACATCCACATCCTCCTTGATCTTTGCCTTCTTCCTTACCACACCATCCTTGTCATTTTACATTTGCCTTCTTCCTTAGCACCTCTCTCATATTACCTCCTCATTTTACTTTATACTTTGCCTTCTTCATTACCACATCCTCATTTTTTGGCCTTCTTCATTACCACATCCTCCTCATTATACTTTGCCTACTTCATTACCACACATCCTCCTTGAGTTACTTTGCCTTCTTCATTACACATCCTCCTTGTCATACATTGACATCTTCCTTACCTGCTTGTCTTCATTACTTTTCCACATCCTCCTAGTCTTACTTTTGCCTTCTTCCTTACCACATCCTCCTTGTTATATTACTTTACATCTTCCTTGTTATACTTTGCCTCCTCCTTCATTTGCCTTTCTCCATAATCCTTCATTGTTACCACATCCTTCTTGTTATACTTTTTGCCTTCTTCCTTACCACATCCTCCTCCTCTTGTCTTACTTTGCCTTCTGCCTTACTACACATCCTCCCATCATTTGCCTTTTCTTCATCCTCCTTGTTTTACTACTTTGCCTTCTTCATTACCATATACATCCTCCTTCATCTTACTTTTGCCTAATTCATTTACCACATCCCTCTTATTTGCTTACCACATACTTTGTCTTACTTTGCCTTCTTCATTACCACATCCTCCTTGTCATCTTGCATTGCCTTCTCATTTACCTTCTCATGTTACCCTTTTCATTACCACATCCTCTTTGTTACTTTTGCCTTCTTCATTACCACACATCCTCCCTTACATCTTACTTTGCCTTCTCTCTTACCACACATCCTCCTCATCTTGACTTTACCTTCTTCCTTACCATCCTCCTTGTTATACTTTGCCTTTTCCTTACCACATTCATTACACTTTTGCCTTCTTCATTACCACACATCCTCCTTGAGTTACTCTTTTATTAGCACATTCCTTGTCCAGATTGATCCTCTCTTCATTTTACATTGCCTTCTCTCTTTCCACATCCTCCTCATCTTACTTTGCCTTCTTCTTACCACATCCTCTTGCTTTGACTTACTTTTGCCTTCTTCATTACCACATCCTCCTTGTCATACATTGCCTTCTCCCATACTTCTTCTTCATGTTACCTTCTTCATTACCACATCTTCCTTGTCCCCTACTTTTTTCTTTTGTCCTTCCTCATCTTACTTTGCCTTTTCCTTTACCACATCCCTCTTCATTACCATATACACATAATGTTACTTTGCCTTCTCTCTTGCCACATCCTCCTCATCTTACTTTGCCTTCTCTCTTACCACATCCTCCTTGACTTACTTTGCCTTCTTCATTACCACATACTCCTTGTCTTACTTTGCCTTCTTCATTACCACATCCTCCTTGTCATACATTGCCTTCTCATTTACCACATCCTCTTCATGTTACTTTGCCTTCTTCATTACCACATCCTCTTTGACTTACTTTGCCTTCTTCATTAGCACATCCTCCTTGTCATACATTGCCTTCTCCCTTACCTATCCTCTTCATATTACTTTGCCTCCTTCATTACCACATCTTCCTTGTCTTACTTTGCCTTCTTCATTACCACATCCTCCTTGTTATACTTTGGCTTCTTCATTACCACATCCTCCTTGTCTTACTTTGCCTTCTTCATTACCACATATTCCTTGTTATACTTTGCCTTCTTCATTACCACATCTTCCTTGTTAGACTTTGCCTTCTTCATTACCACATCCTCCTTGACTTACTTTGCCTTCTTCATTACCACATCCTCCTTGATTTACTTTGCCTTCTTCATTACCACATCCTCCTTGTTGTACTTTGCCTTTTTCATTACCACATCCTCCTTGTTATACTTTGCCTTTTTCATTACCACATCCTCCTTGAGTTACTTTGCCTTCTTCCTTACCACATGCTTGTCGTTTTACATTACCTTCTTCCTTACCACATTCTCTTCATCTTACTCTGCCTTCTTCATTACCACATTCTCCTTGTCATACTTTGCCTTCTTCCTTACCACATCCTCTTTGTCATACATTGCCTTCTCCCTTACATATCCTCTTCATATTACTTTGCCTTCTTCCTTACCACATCCTCCTTGTCTTACCTTGCCTTCTTCATTACCACATCCTCCTTGTTATACTTTGCCTTTTTCATTACCACATCCTCCTTGTTATACTTTGCCTTCTTCATTACCACATCCTCCTTGTTATACTTTGCCTTCTTCATTACCACATCCTCCTTGAGTTACTTTGCCTTCTTTATTAGCACATCCTCCTTGTCATACATTGACATCTTCCTTACCACATGCTTGTCATTTTACATTGACTTCTCCCTTTCCACATCCTCTTCATGTTACTTTGCCTTCTTCCTTACCACATCCTCCTTGTCTTACCTTGCCTTCTTCATTACCACATCCTCCTTGTTATACTTTGCCTTCTTCATTACCACATCCTCCTTGTTATACTTTGCCTTCTTCATTACCACATCCTCCTTGTTATACTTTGCTTTCTTTATTACCACATCCTCCTTGTCATACATTGCCTTCTCCCTTACCACATCTTCTTCATGTTACTTTGCCTTCTTCATTACCACATCCTCCTTGTTATACTTTGCCTTCTTCATTACCACATCCTCCTTGTCATACATTGACATCTTCCTTACCACATCCTTCTTGTCTTACTTTGTCTTCTTGCATAGCACATTCTCATCGTACTCATCTTCTTTTTTCTTCTTACAATTACTTTTCTTTCTACTACTACTTCTCCTTTTCAATTGCTCTTTTCTCTTCTTTCTAAAATTGTTTTTCATTTTCATTTCTTGTACACTCTTTTTTCCTCCCCACTTTTCTTTTTTCTTCTCCAACCTTTTTTCTCTTCTTTAAACAATTTCTTATCCTATTCATATCTACTTTTTCTCCTACAATTATTTCAAATCCCTATTTTCTCATCTTTAATCCACATTTCTATTATTTCCTCTCTCTCCTTATTTTCTTTCTTTTTCTCTTTATTCTTTTCAATGCTTCTTCTTTTCTTTCTCCAACCAGTTTCTTGTCTAGCATAAATTTCCTTTATTCCATCAATTTCTCCATCTATCTGCCATTTTTCTTTTTACAATCTTTTTTCTCTTCCTTATTTTCTTTTTCTTTTTTCCATCAATTTTTTCTCTTTTTCTTTCTACAGTCTTTTTTTATCTTCCTTCTTTTACTTCTGCAGTGTTTGACTTTTCCATGGACTTCTCTTCATTTCCTTTCTGCTGCATAAATCTTGAAAAATGTTTTTGTAATTTTAATGTGACATGTGTAAAATTCTCTAAATTCTTCCACAAATTAAAATGCCTGAAGACATCTTAATTCGCAGTGGATTAACGCTGTTGGTTTTAAGCCATATAAAATGAATCAATTAAAATAGCATTTGAAGGAGACTTCAGATTTATTTTCCTTTCGATATTTAAAAAAATTATTATATGAATTAAGAACTATTTATAAAGTTTAAAATGTTTTTTCTCTGACAATAAAATCTGCCAGAATCATTTTGCTATTTATTTCTATTTACTGACCACCTGTGAATCATCAGCTTGTAACCTGGAAGAGTTTCATTAAACATTTTGCTGACAAAACAAATCTGGGCAATGACTAACTGGTTATTTTCATGCTTTACTGACTTATGTGAAATGTACATGATTTCTCTTATGATTCTATACCTGGTGTTGTGTCGTGTATCCTGCTAAGTAAGCATTCTGCCTCTGTTCTAGTTGGTGTCCATTTATCATATGAGCTACATGCTCATATGCAAATTATACTAATTTGCATCTCACTACACCTGGCATCTATCCTCAAATTAGAATGCTCCCTGAAAGGAAATTTCTTCAAATCCCTTCCCTAAATAATGTGTTGATTCTAAAGTGGAATTTACTGAACAAGAACAAATATCTTGTTGTCAATTGTCCTCCGAATTTATTTGTACAAAACTGGATTAATAAATCTGTAACTCTCACAGTTATGATTTTAAATTTGATCAAAATATTTCACTGTATAATATTTGATTTCAATGAATAATATGAAGCATTGAACTACGTGCATTGACATGGAAGTTGATTAGATTTAAAAATAAATACTTTTTTCATCATTACTTAATTTAACTTGAGTAACATATGATCATCTTTCAAGTATATTTAAGAAGACTGGTCAGCATATGAACAGCAGAGTGGGACCTAGATTTCAGATGTGAAGGCAGCTAACTGGCTGCAGAGAGTGGAGCGGTTGGTGGCATTCACAATTAAAAGTCTCTAGCTGCTGCTTGGAGAGCTGAAGGCTAAAAGGTTTCAACATTCTTAAGGAATATGCTGACAACTTCTACAATTTCAAAATGAAAAACTAAAAACTGATCATGCTGCTGCTGACCACAAAAAGGAAGCTGAATGAAAGCATAAAGAAAAACAACAGTCATTTCAGAATTATGATTAAAGGCCCCAGTGACTCATATATGTTGCCAAAACTGTCTCAACAAGTGTTTTCATCTCTCTATTAAGTCAGGGCACCTTTTTTTTTAAGGGTATTTTCTTCCTTTTTGCAGTTTTTATATCTTCTCAAGTTTTATTTTTCACTAGCAGTAGAGCCTGCGTTGCCCGTGGATATAACAGTAAGAGAGAGATCAAGTATCGACCATCATAAAGACTGAAAAATAAAATTGACAAAGATTATTGTTTAAGGGTGATGGACATGCATGTCTTAGTTTTTTTTTTTTGTTGTTTTGTTTTGTTTTTTTCTTACAAATTGGTCAAACTCAAACATAAACATTGTTTTCAATCGTTATGAGTCTACCGATTGAATAGAATTTTATTATAAACAATTGTCTTGTAAATGGAATTTTTAAAGCATTCTGAATGTAAAAATAAAGAAAAAAGTGTGCAAGACAATAAGAAACATTATCGGTTGAAAAATGTAAGAAATCCGATCACATATATAAACGAACACGCACACACACACACAAACAACCTGGGTTTTATAATAAGTATAGCTCGATATGAGTTGTCCCCCTTTCATTCATCGTGTTTTCAAATTGATTTTGTGCAAAAACAATTGTGTTTTTCCAGTTTTTGGCACTGTCAGAACAACCACAAGGTAAGTTTATGTAGTCATGTGAAGTTTTGTTGAAATCGGTTGAAAAATGTAGGAAATCCGATCCAATATATAAACGTACAGACACACACACACGCACACAATCTGCATTTTATAATAAGTAAGATGATCTGAAAAATTCTATTGTAAATCTTTTTTTAAAGCCAATAATTTCTATAATTTTGTCATGTTATCTTCCCTTGTCCATAATAAGGTGCACAAAAGAAAATTTTTGTACTTTTCAAATTTCAGATGATAGTTTCAAGTCTTGTTTATTATAGCATACACCTGTTTTAATATTCCATATGTGAGGTAACGTTTTCTCTTTTCCCATTCCCTACATGGAAAAAAATTATTCTTTTTATTATTATTTATATGTATTGTTGTGCCCATAAAAGAATAAATAAATAAAAATTATAGTGTCAAAAAAATAATTATAGCAATTAAAATTATCATTAATTCACTCATTCTAAACCAAACATGAATCAACTCCACTTTTCTCCTCTACACACACAAATATGTGACATTTTTGCTATGAGACAAGCAGTTCACACGTGCGGGTTGTTAACGTGTGTCAACAAAATATTATCTCCTTTCACTTTTCAGCTTAATTTTTCTTGTGTTTTTATAATAATGTTATAGGAATGTTTTATTTTCTAAACATGATCAGTAGATTGTGGCAATGTTCATAGTTGATGTCACTGAGTGTTAGCTTTTTCTTTTGTATTAATAATGCTTCTACTATTTTTAGCCTTTTTCACATGTGGAGTAGCCTATTATATTCCTATTGTGAATGAGTATGTTTGGTAATGTATTTTAATGAAACCTAATTGAGCTATGGTCAGTGAGATGTAACGTAATGTTGTAGTATATCCTATATAATTATCTATAAATTTGGTTTGATCAGGAACACAGTAATTTAGATCTTGCAGGTGAGTTATTATTGTTGATGATGAGCTTAGAAGATTTAAGTTTTTCTAGTAGATAATTTAATTTTCTTACTTTTGTTTCCAGGAGTTGCATATTTCTTTATAATGTTTCTAAGGGGACATTCATCGTGCTTATAGTTAATGAGCATTTACTTTGATTTTTATAGAAAATGTTAGTTTTTATCTGTATGTTCAGTCTTGCTATTGTGTGTTTTTGTGCATTCTCTCTCTCTCTCTCTCTCTCTCTATATATATATATATATATATAAAACAAGGATTGTATTTCACCAAAAAGCAGTTAACCAGGGCAATTCTGGATGTTGACATTGTTATGGGTGGCATATTGGCCCATAGATATTGAATGATGACAGATAACAAATCAAATGAAGACTTGAACATTAAAATACATTGCCAAGTTTACAGTACACTAGGCAAAAAATAGAGGGAATTGTCCTGAGAAGGACAGATTCATAGTTACTGGAGAACATTGTCCTAAGTAGGACAGTTTATTACATATTTCTGCTGGCAAAGATGGCTGGAGTGGAAAGCCTGTTGGGGCTAGCTGGAGTGGCAGGAGCTGGAGGCCTACTAAAGATGGCTGCAGTGGCAGGAGCTGGAGGACTACTAAAGATACGCTGGAGCAGTAGGAGCTGGAGGCCTACTGAAGATGGCTGCAGTGGCAGGAGCTGGAGGACTACTAAAGATGGCAGGATCTGGAGGCCTACTAAAGATGGCTGCAGAGGCAGGAGCTTGAGGCCTACTAAAGATATGCCGGAGCGGTAGGAGCTGGAGGCCTACTGAAGATGGCTGCAGTGGCAGGACCTGGAGGACTACTAAAGATGGCAGGAGCTGGAGAACTACTAAAGATGGCTGCAGAAGCAGGAGCTGGAGGCCTACTAAAGATATGCCAGAGCAGTAGGAGCTGGAGGCCTACTGAAGATGGCTGCAGTGGCAGGAGCTGGAGGCCTACTAAAGATATGCCAGAGCGGTAGGAGCTGGAGGCCTACTGAAGATGGCTGCAGTGGCAGGACCTGGAGGACTACTAAAGATGGCAGGAGCTAGAGAACTACTAAAGATGGCTGCAGAAGCAGGAGCTGGAGGCCTACTAAAGATATGCTGGAGCGGTAGGAGCTGGAGGCCTACTAAAGATGGCTGCAGAGGCAGGAGCTGGTGGCCTACTAAAGATATGCTGGAGCAATAGGAGCTGGAGTCCTACTGGAGATGATGATAATGGCCGGCTAGCTAAAATTGTCAGCTGCTACACATTGATCCTCCCCATCTTGACCAAGGAAGGCATGTTGTTTATCCCAGCCTTCCCACATAAAAATTTCTCAGTCCCTGCAACCATTGGTTGCACTGATCCTCCTCTCTAGTGAAATGAGAGGGTGCAGCCTCAAGAAGCTGTTCCCAAGGTCCAGGCATCTGAAATTATATATTCCTCAGCTGTGACTGTGTTCACAGACAGAGGCCACAACTGAGTCACACTTTGCCCATAGACAGAGACTCAAAAGATAGATGATAATCCTCCCATGGCATGAACCACAGAAAGTATGTTTTTTTTTTTTGTTGCTTTTGAGGCCTCTTTATTTCCAGAACCAGTCTTACAACAATGCTGGTTAAGATTTTTCTTCTAGTTGTGTTTATGTGGGATTGCTAACAGGATATGCAACATATTTAAGGCAAGCAGTTTCTGTAATAGTAGATTTCTTTCCACATAGTGACATTATATTTATCTCTCTGATTACATGGCACCATCTTCTGATACAAAAAGCCTATTGTCTCTTGAAGTCTCTAGTTGAGATTGGTATGTGCAATTGGTGTAATGTATAGCAATGTTGAATGAGAAGTCAGATAAAACCGAGTTCAAGTTTTAGTCAGTTTTGTTACATTCACTTATATGCAAAAACTCTTGAGAAAAGTATGAATCCATCACCTTCCTCCAGCTATGGATCAAACAGTAGGACTTGTATCAGGAAAAAAATCATTGTTATTCTCAAAAACTTGTTAATGCAATATTTGTTCACAAAATATAATATCTTTACAATTCAAAATATGTTATGGATATGTTATACACAAATAGGGTTGATAAGCCATAAAAAAAAACAATCAATCTGGTGGTGTTTGGGTGAAGGGAAACTCATACTACGCAAAAAAAAACCAAAACACAA